AAGAAAAAGCGTTTTGGTAAATAAAAATTAACGCCTAGTAGTTACTAATTCTAGACAATTTTAATTACTATAAGTAAAGAATTGGTCGAACCAATATTCCCCTATAGCCCGTGGTACAGACCCCTTTTTATCAAATTATTAACATTCAGCTGAAACTTCGTAGGTCGGGAAAAAAGGTGGCCTTAAAAAATATTGAGCCGTTTGGCGTAACCTACACCCCTAAATTGTCAAAACAACGAGGTTATATATGCCAAACGGCCGATTATTTTTGTAGACCACCTTTTTTTATCGATTTTGTGAACAAATTATCTTAGAAACTAAGTGAAAAGTAAATGGGTATTTACAAGTGTTTAGTACCTAATTAAATAGACAAAGTTTGCCGACCTTCAGATAGAAAACGCCCCAATTCCGATAATTTTCGTAAATAAAATATTTGTACGTTACGTTGAGATGAAGCTCTTTACGTTTTTTTTAGCCGGGTGTTAATTATTTAATAAAAAGGGGTCTGTACCACGGACTATATGTGACATAGGGGAATATTTTTTAGACCGATTGTTTAAATATAGTAATTAAAATTGTCTAGAATTAGTAACTACTTTGCTTATATGTTATTTTTAATGAACATTTTTAAAAATATTGCTTAAAATCGGTAGGGAAGCTATTCGATTGGACCATCCAGATTTTTATTTAAATAATTGGTGACATTGTATAGATTGTCTTTACTCTACAACTATTTCATTCCGTTAATTTTTCATTACATTTCCAAGATTATTGTATAGTTTTTTTTATTTATATTTCTTTATGACATTTACAACTGTATTACATAAATACATCAAGTAAATTTGGACATAATAGATATAATGACATGAATACACTTGCTGAGTAACTACCCAATGGTAGCACTCTAATGATATGACTACATTAGGAGATCACGGGGCCATCTTCTTTTCAGACGCCTCGGAGGGTTATCAGGAATGGAAGAGGAAGCAAGGTTAGAAACGAGAGGGTTGGCATGATTCTGAAGTTTATTATGGAAGGATAGGTATCTGGATTGGACCAGATCTGAAACATAAGGAACATTAAGATCTTTATGGATAATTTTATTAGTGACAAAGTAAGGAGCATTGAGGATTTTATGAAGGATTTTGGATTGTAAGGATTGGATGCGAGAGGAATTCGATGGCTTAGTGGAGCCCCATAGCTCAACTCCGTAAGTCCAAATAGGTCTTATTATAGTCAAGTATATGAGTCTTTTGTAATTAATGGGAAGTTTATATCGTTTGTCTAGTAAGTGCTGAAGTAATCGGAAACGTCGAGCGGTTTCTTGTCGTTTCAGTCTAGTGTGAGGGTTCCAAGTTAGTCGTTTGTCCAGGTGGAGTCCTAGGTATCGGATTTGCTCAACAGGGATAAGTGGAGTATTGTTAAAGGAAACTGTAGGACAGGAAGTCGTTGGTTTACGACGAAGATTGTATAGTTAAATGTATTTTTTGTTTTTGTTTTAATGTACTTTCCGTGATAAATAACTAGTGATAAAGTCTCATCCACAATAATATATATTAATTAGTTTAAATCTGTATATATTAAAAAATAAGTTAGCGTTAAAATTAAATATTATAAAAGATAAAATAAAAATTTATCGAGAAATGTTACAACTCAATGGACTATGATCTGACAATTCAAATAAACGAAAACTTATTCCGTCGGGTGTGAAGGTAGTCAAACCTGCTATTATGTTTCGGCCCCAAGAGAAAAATTCCAACTTAGATGGAATCCAGAAACTCAGAATGTATTTTTATCCTCTTCATTCTTGAATCGTGTATCCTTCTCTCCTCTATCCAATATATATCTATCACAGAATGTTCCAAAAATAGCAAACATATTTGAGTTAACACTTATAGATTCCGGGCCTAGGCCAGTTGATTCATTCAGAAAATGATAATGTTAGAAAAACCTTGTAGATCAAACTTGTATTCATTAATCTTAAGTTATTTTCGTTTGGCATGCAATTCTTTATGTATTTTGGGATCCTGGTAATTACCGTTTTATTCCCTATTATTCCGATGAATTACCTTAGTATCGAAATTTATGTTTTTAGTAAGAGTTTAAGAATGGTCAGATAAAGTATCTTTTTCTGGTGATGGTTTAAAAACTTAATTTTTTTTTCAAGATAGGGCTTAAACTGTAGTTACAGGTAATATTTTTGTATTAGTTATCACTAGAAAATAATTATAGTTCTTTTTAAATACTTGATTCCTTTGCTACATGTTTATGGGTTATATTAAGGCAATTTTTTGTTTTTATATTAAAAAAAAGATATTATCCTAAATTACATAAAGCACTTTTTCCTTACTTCATGTAATATTTGTGCCTGATATGAAGACAATCAAACTACGATTCGGGCCTTATGAAATAAGACAGATAAAATGGCGAACAAACGAGTTGAAATCTCTCTCTGACTCGCCCTTAAAATTACGCATTACATTTCTGTATTTTTTATATTACAAAAATATTTTCTTCCCCAACTACCATGAACCTAAAGGCTATGTATGGGCTTCTTGAAATGAATTGAAAAATAATTTTATTCTTGGACTAAAGGTCACTTAAAATAATAACAAAGATAACAAAAATTGAAACATCTGTTTCTAGTGTTGCCAAAATTCGAGACGAAGGCGAATCTTGGTCTTGGTCTCGCTCAAGAGTCTTGCAGTTACATATTAGGCTATTATTATAGAGATATTACTGTAATTTTTCAGATAGAAGAAATCTAATTAAGCCTGAATGAGAAAATAAAGAGTTCAATTCAAAAGTATATCGGTTATACTAATTCTTTACATATAGTAACTAAAATTGTAAAGTATTGGTAGCTATTTCGCCTTAATGTTTATTCACAAAAACGATTTTTTTTTTTTTTTGACCAGTTTTGTTCTTGGTCTTACCAACATTTTGGGGGTGTTGGTCTTGGTCTTGCAAAGTGCAAGACCAAGAATTATTTTGGGCAACACTGTCAGTCTCGCATGTAGATATTTAAATACAAATTTATGTATAAAAAAATACAACTATATGCAAAAAATACAACTATATACAAAAAAAACAAATAAAATGACTCTTCTCAATTAACTGTTATGAGCAATTGTAATTACAAACATAAACATTCTTAAAAGCTTGTGGAAGTTCGAATGTGTAGTAGTAGGTGGTGGAATAGAAGTTTGAAGGAATTTGTGTAACGTATGGAGATGGGTTATAAGTTCCAAAAAGAGGTAGCACGAATGATGAACGATTTGCTGAAGGAAGTGGTTTAATAGGAGGGGATATATAGATGTATAGGTTGAGATCAAGAAGGAATTGCTTTCGGGAATTAGGATTGAGCAACTTCAACTCGGCTTCTTAACCCCTAAGTTTCATCGAAAACTGTTCAGCGTGTAAGGACAACAGGTCGATAGAAATAGTGGACAACACACCAATAAAGGATAACAATTTTGTATGAGAAGCCCCTTCATCGTATGATTTTTATTTTTCTTCTAATAATTACTTAAGATGCTCGAACAAGTAAAATTATTTTTTTCAGAAACCTCTCAGAATTGAAGAGGCTCGCTTATTGCGTCATTCAAAATTATTTGTTACCTCAGTATACTCAATCGATACCCCTTTGGAAGACGTTGACGTAGGTAATTATCTGCCAGTCAACTTATTAAAAAATTTTCTAATTGGATTTAATTTTAATTATGCCGGATGACGCAGTCTCATTCTTCGAGAACTGTCGAGACCCGCTCTCAAGAGCTACCAGGAGTGCTCTCGGCAGCTGCTTACGGAAGTTTTATTTTTTATGTTTTTAATAGCCGCTTATCTTTATTTGTCTGTAGGTCGTTTATCTTCATTCAATAATATTACAAAAACCTAATTAAAATGTAGTTTTCCTTGATGCCTTTATTGATCGACGTCAATCGTGCTCTTAATATTTTTTTGTTGGCGTCATTAATGATCATCGTGATTTTTTAAAACACCCTGTAACAAATAATAGTAACCAAAGTACAAATGATTGTTTAAAAATATTTCTCTATGCCGTAATTAGCCTCTTATGGGTTAAGTTTAGATCAATTGTGTAGTTAGCTCAACAATATTTATTCCAATATAAACAATTTATTTTGGTCATAAAAACGATTAATAGCTCAACTGTATGTTCCATGAAGTTCTGTTCGCGTTTATTATCTCAAAGGAATATTTATCGTAGAAGAATTAATTCCTATATCGAATTACTAAATTATATTATATTTTTATTTATGTTTTATTTAACGAAAAACATTTTTTTCAAATATTGCTGATCTTATTTAAATCTTAGAACTGATATTATTCTCATGTTTTTGTTGCCTGATTGCTGTATTTCGTTATTATTTCTTGTCAGTTATTCTGTCATAAAATATATTAAACAGTTATTAAAAATATATTTACTTGTCTTAATTAGTCGAAAGTGGTGAACTATTTATAAGAAAGTATATTTTATAGATAAATTACGAGAATTAATTAAATTTATCTTGGTTTGTTGTTATTTGTTATTAAGTTGTTATTTCCATGGCTCAGTTCAAAACTGAAACAACTTAAAAAATTAAATGAAATATTCCATAGTGGAACTTTTGCTTTTACGCTGATAATGAAAGCATTTTGAAATGGAGCTGTTTCTTATCAAGGACTATAAAAGTATCTATTACAATAAAAATTAAAATATGTAATAACAATTTTTTAAATGTAAAAATTAAATTAGGTAGCTTTATAGTCCTTGGTTTTGTACTGTGAAGAAGAAATTACAGGCCATTAGTATCAAAAGAAAATTGAAAACAATTGATTTTTGAGCTGTTTCAGTTTTGAACTGAGCCATAGTTTTGTGCATAGTTCCTTTTATAACATACGTATTCGCTTTGATATGTCTTAGTTATAAATTATTATATTTATTTATATTATGTTTTTATCATTTCTGGTATTTATTGTGTTGTTTTTTTTTGTTACAGAACTTCCAACAGAGGAAGGTTAGTACCTGGCTTAAGTTGATATCTGGTTAAGGTAAATATTTTTTATGTGTTAAAGTTTTATTCAGAGGGAAAAGAAAATATTACTATTTGCCATTTTAATCATTAGTTAATTTTACCAACCCCGAAATTAAAATTAAAAATATGTTTCATTGTTGATGAATTAATTAAAATGGGCAAAACGTTTTAGTAGATTTTGTTTAATAGTCCATCAGTTGTATTATTATCATAAAGCTCTTCTGAACATCGTTTTTATTTTTGTTAAATGGTTAGAAAAAATAATTAATAATTAAATACTATCATTACATAGGTAACTCCAAAACAAACTGAACCTCAAGAACACAGAACGTGATCTTAAAAAAATTATATCATAAAAGAATTGAAGTTATTCCGTTAATTTATTGCTGCTTTGTTGAAAATAAACCTACGAATGTAATATATACTTTAATCTTCAATACTGCATTATAATTTTTAAACTAAATTGAATACTGTCATGTTTTTTTTAAACTTGATATAGTTAAAATTTGTAATTATATACATTCATAATTTTTTTGTTTAAAATGAAATTTGAATGATTGAAAATTGGCTGAAATTTGAAAACACTAAGTCATAAAGATGTTGATTTAAAATATGGTAAATTATTTTCTTAAAAACGAGAAAACAAAATCTACAATTTTATAAAAATCCAGACGACAATTTTGCTGATAAATAAAAAAAATATCAAAATGGCTGACTATACCGCGTGTATATGTTTCAATGTAAGAATGTATGAATAGTAGATTCCCTGGACACATGGAATGCTTCTATAGATCGAAAATTCGAAACATGGAACAATTTGGTTACGCGACTTAACATGAAAGCCTGTTTACAGGGTCATGTTTCTTGACCAAAATGAGTTTATCCAGTAAAATGGTCAATATACTTAATTGTGTAAACTGGACTGAATAGGTTAGGTAATCACACTTTCTAACAATATTATTGCCAAAATGCGAAACCTAGACGAATCTTAGATAGGAGAAACCTAACTAAGCCCGAATGAAAAATTAGAAGAGTTAAATGCAATAGTATAGTATATTGGTTATACCGATTCTTTACATATAGCAACTAAAATTGTTAGGTATTAGTAGCTATTTAGCCTTAATTTTTATTCAAAAATTCGATTTTGTTTTATCAGTCTTGGTCTTGGTCTTGCAAACTCCCAGACCAAGACTGATTTTAAGCAACCCTACCTAACAACTGACAATATTAAGAGCTCTATAGAATGGATCTATTCAATTTGAAATGTATTGATTTCATTTACTATTTAAATCCTTTATCATTTATATCAGTATAGTCAGAAAATGGCGCTACTGTTTTAGTAAATAATTTTTCAAAAAAAGATTTTCGTGGAAAACGTTTAAATGTCCATGGTCCGTCCCAGTTTGCCTTCTTGCGTCAGTTGATTTATCTGCATCCCTAGCTATTAATACTCCACGGTCGCTCGGTTTTGGAGCCTTTTTTTTTTCATTTCTATTTTTTACTTCAAAGTATCAATCTAATTACAAAAAAAAAAAAGGATAGTGGGTGGGTGGGTAAAATAGGTTCATTTTTAGCTTAGTGTATTCGATAATCGGGCGTGTTTTTTCCGTTCGTTTTCATAAACATTTTTGAGCGGATAGATCTTTCTTCGTTGGTTTTTTTTTATGCTTAACAATATCAGCTGATCAATTTTTTTCTTATCTAAATTTTTAATTTTAAATAAAATTTTATTTTTAATTTCTGATATAAACCCATTTACCTTATATACCGTTTAGATGGTCGTACTTGCTCAATGATGTGTTATTACGTTTAATTATTCATTATTCAATTATAATTGCTTGAAATTGTAATATCACTCTTAAAGTTTACTTATTGACATTTCAGAGAAAAATTATCAAAACTATTAAAGATAATTTATTTTATTTTAGTTCCTTTTAGATGGTGTATGGTGTATTCAGTTTGTAGGTTGACTGCCTAGAAAATGCTGATGCCAATCAAATTTGTTACAAATCCCTTGCTAGTTATGAATGAGCTCTATTTTCATTCCAGGAATATATCCATTCATATGAATAAATGAAATTAAATTACATAACAAAAATTTGTTATGTTTTTTTTTAAATAGATACTTATTTTTTTACTGTGTTCTGAAGTCAAATATTTTCTTCTCGTTAATTAAAAACGAGAAGAAAATTAACTATAAGAAAATATTTGATTAATGAAATCGGTGTGAATGTGTTCATTTATAAATATAATTATTGTCCCTGTGACTGAATATTATATGTCTAAATAAATAAATAAAAATAAAATAAATTAATGAGATAAGTGATTTTAAATCTTCCGACTGTTGAGGCTGATGGGAAGTTCTCGGGTTATACAGCATTTTTTTGTAGTTTAATTCACATTTTTGAGGTCAACCAATGGGTAGTTTCTCTTCATCTACATGTCAAGTTACCAATTTCACATTTACTTATTGTATTTTCTATGTAAATTCCATTAAAATAATAAATAAAAAAAATCACATTAAATTAAAATAAGTTTGTAAATCTTTCATTTGCAAACATATCATCCTGATAACACCATAATGAAGTCATAAAATAATAATAATTATAACATAATAGCATGAATTCTCGTGATCACAATTGAATTCCAATTAAAAGAAATAATATTGCTTTTTCTCTTTCTTTCTTTTTAATCTGAACTGAGGAACGTGAGTTATCTTCGAATCAGATTTAATCACTTCAAAGATTATTTTATTTATTTATATGTTGATTTGGTATTGACAAGGTCTTTTTAAAATAATAATAATACAATCTGCCACTCTCCGCAAGTATTAAATACAATAATTATTAATGCTATAACGTATCCATTCATAAATAAATACATACTGACGAAAAATAAATATAAATATTTAAAAACGAAGTAAAAATATAAAATTAATACAGTACAGAATAATTAAGTTAAAGCTTAATAAAATAAGTCATCCAGAAAACAATTGAATTTTTTTCCATATTTATTTTATTAATCTTAATGTACAACTATTTAATTTTTTTATGAAAAAGTATAATTTTCATTTTGAGCCTGAAAAGTAATTAATATCGAACACAGGATTTTCTCTCTCTCTCTCTCTCTCTCTCTCTCTATATATATATATATATATATATATATATATATATATATATCGTTTTACTGTATTTCACCGCCTTTCGAAAACAATCCATTATGTTTTTTTTTTTTTTGTTTTTTTTGTTTTTTTTTATCTTGGAAACTAATTTAAAATTATTTTAAATTTTGTTAAACTCAAGTAAGGTTTTTTTTTTTCATTTATTGTTTTTCGATCAATTACTGTTATTATTAAATATAAATTTCTTAATTTAGTGTATTTTTTCTTTAATTTTTTCAATGTTTTCTAATTAGATTGCAGTAGTTACATCAGCCGTATATTCACACCGCTTTATCAAAATTCACTGGTTTGCAAATAATTTAATATCATCATTAAAAAAAATACCAATAAAAATGACCTGATCATGCTCAGTGTAAATAAACTTGGGTTCGTTTTAGATATGCTATATTCTGATCACATCTGACGGTCTTGTGACGTAGTCTGTTTTCTTGCTTGCTTCTTTCAGAACTTCCATCAATCTTAATAAATTTAGTCTTATATTGTTCTCTTTTTTTTTTTTTTTTTTTTTTTTTAATTTTAGTGTTAAAAAAGTAATAAAACCTAGTAAACTTAAATTTTCAAACAGTAGCATGCTAAAAGCTGTTATCAAACTATCCATTTTGTTGGTATCTTTTGATATAAAAAAATATAAAAATTTCCAATAGAAGTTTTTCATTCAAATTGAAATTCGTATTTCTTTCTGTAATAGGCCTGAACATGATTTTTGTTTTGATTTTGTTCTGTTTGATTTTGATTTATCTACTACCTTTTAAAAAATACTAATCTAGCTTGATTTTTATTTCATTTTTTAACTAAACAACCATTTTGATTTTTTATATACATCTATTTATATACAAAATCTCTACTATTATTGTTTTTATAAAAGTGGTTGCCTTTTTCAAACATCTCTGCTAACTTGCCTATTATTTTTTCTTCTCTTTAATTTTCACCTACTTCCTAAGTCTTTAGTTGGCTCCTGTAAAGATTTCATTATCTTGTTGCATATGTTATCTTCAGTATATTTATGATCTCATAAGTCGTTTTTAAAAATATATAATCGCTTATTGATTTTATTTAAAAAATAATCTATTCGTTTATAGTATCCTGGTACTGATCTACATTAAGGTTAAGATTTCATGAATCGATTCATATTTTTTACTTTCCCATCTATACTAGGCAAGGAAATTATTGCAATTGGGTCAAATATCCAATAATCGGTTTTCGACGGATGTATATGTTTCAGAGCCCCCTGAGTCCGAAAAACACATTTTTATGCATTGGTCTGTCCGTCTGTGCCAAGATTTTTTCGGAAACTATTGAACCGATTTGGTTGCTTATTTTGTAGGGTTTTGACTACTGATGCCTGTGACAAATTGGTTGTTCCATACGCAATAGCTGCTGCGCAATAAATGAAAGCCATATTTTTCTATAGACTGTAGAGCGACGAAAACGGCTCTAACGATTTTGATGAAACTTTCCTATAATGTTCTAATAATTGTCCTTTCCATTTTCGTACACAGACTCAATTTCCGAGAATATTCAAAAAGTTATAAAGAAACGAAAAATGTTTTGGGGCCTAACTCGCTAGGTATATATTGTATGGTAAAATTTATAATAAAACTTTTGAAAGATGATTAAATTACCAACAAAATAAAAAAATCTTCGGGATCGAATCAGTTATGATACAGCTTATTCTATTTTTTACACATGTTTATTTATTAATTTCCTACTTACACTTGTTAAGGAAAGTATTTCGATCAAATTTCCGATATGCGGTTTTCGACGGATCTACACGTTTAAGAGCCCGCTCATTCCGAAAGAA